TTGTCGTTTCCGCGCTTCCGCTAAATGTCATCGATGACATTGATGACATTCTAGATCTTCCTGACGACCAAAAGACTTACGATGCAGTCAAGACAGCTGTTCTAAGAAGAACAGGCTTATCCGATCGACAACGAGTTACGAAACTCCTCAACGAAACCGATCTTGGTGATCTTAAGCCTTCTCAGCTGCTTCGAAAGATGCAGAGCCTAGCTAAACCCACTTCGATAGATGATTCTTTTCTTCGGGAAATGTGGTTGCAACGACTTCCGCGCGAGATGCTACACATCCTCTGCGCTAGTGAGGATGCACCTTTACCCAAACTGGCCGATACAGCCGACCGAATTTGGGAGTCGTACGGCCAGGTTTCGCAGGTCCACACGAAACCGGACAACGATATCGCTACGCTCAAATCCCAGATGGCAACGTTGACTCGACAATTCGCAGACTTTTCGGCCTCCAGACATAACCGCTGTAAATGCTCTAGGAGCCGTTCGCGTTCACGTTCGAAGTCTCCTTCGCGATCACCGAATAGAAACGGTTACTGCTGGTACCACGAACGCTTCGGCCAGCAAGCTAAATCATGTCGCCCGCCCTGTTCCTTCAAAGGACAGCAGCAGGGAAACGGGCGGACCAGCACGTAGGGGCGACGGACGTAGCTGGTCAACGCAGTCGCTTTTTCTTCGTCACCGATCCTAGAACCGGAGTTCGCTATCTCGTCGATACTGGCGCAGAAGTCAGCGTTCTCCCGCGTGATCCAAATGACCCGACCGAAAAGGTGACTAGCTCATTGCGCGCAGCTAACGGGACCATCAACCGCGTATATGGTCAACGCTCGCGCACGCTAAATCTCAGCCTCCGACGCGCTTTCAAATGGATATTCCTCGTTGCCGATGTTCAAACGCCTATCCTTGGTCTCGACTTCTTACGTCATTACGACCTACTCGTCGACGTTAAGCGACACCGTCTAGTCGACCGTCTTACGAATCTCGCAGTCATTGGGACTTTGACCGACACCGCGTCAATCAGTCCCGTGTACGCGACTCAACTTACTTCACCCGTCGGGCAAACGCTGCTCGACAGTTTTCCGCAGGTCTTCCGTCCTGCCGTCCCGTTGCCTTCCGTAACCGACGCCGCGACACATCACATCGTTACGAAAGGTCCGCCTGTGTTCGCAAAAGCCAGGCGCATGACCCCCGACAAGCTCAAAATTGCACGCTCCGAATTCGAGCACATGTTAGACTTAGGCATTATTCGCCCGTCTAAGAGCCCGTGGGCATCGCCTATACACTTGGTGCCTAAAAAGTCAGGAGACTGGCGTCCATGTGGCGACTATCGCGCTCTCAATAACGCTACCGTCCCCGACCGCTATCCGATTCCGCACATTCAGGACATCACGGCTAGCCTACGTGGCGCCCGTGTGTTCTCGAAGATCGATCTGGTTCGCGCTTACCACCAGATCTCTGTAGCCGAGGATGACATTCCGAAAACCGCAGTCATCACGCCTTTCGGACTTTTTGAATTCTTGCGAATGCCCTTCGGTCTTCGTAACGCAGCTCAAACTTTTCAACGCTTCATAGACTCTGTCACCAGAGGTCTCGACTTTGTTTATCCTTATATAGACGACATCGTAGTAGCTAGTTCTTCTGAAGAACAGCACGCGAAGCACCTCAAAATGCTTTTCGAGAGGTTAGCCTCTAATAGCATTACTGTCAACGCTGACAAATGCATCTTTCAGCAACCATCTATCGAATTTCTTGGTCATCGAATTGACCAGCGTGGCATACGGCCGCTCGAAGACCGAGTCAGCGCTATTAAGGACTTCCCGTTCCGACTACTTTGGCCGCCATCCGCCGTTTTAGTGGGATGATTAACTACTACCGTCGATTTCTGCCACGTTGTGCCGACTTGCTCAGTCCATTGACCGACTTACTTCGTGGACGCAAGAACGGCAATGTCGAATTGACGCCCGCTGCAACCGAAGCCTTCAAAGCCTGCAAAGAGGCCTTGGCCGAAGCCATTATGCTTCATCATTTCGACCCGAAGGCTCCACTCAGCGTTGCAGTCGATGCATCGGACACCGCCATTGGCGCCGTCCTGCAGCAATTCACTGAGGGATGCTGGAAGCCACCCGCTTTCTACTCCCGACGCTTACAACCGGCAGAAGCCAAGTACAGCACGTTCAGCCGCGAACTGCTGGCAGTTTATTCTACCGTTCGACATTGCAGGCACGTCTTAGAAGGTAATTCGTTCGTTATCTTCACCGACCATAAGCCGCTTATTTATGCCTTTCGAAATCAATCAGCTCGACACTCACCACGTGAGGTTCGTCAGCTGGATTTCGTGGCTCAATTTTCTACTGACCTCCGACACATTTCTGGTCAGAATAACGTCGTTGCTGACGCCCTTTCGCGCGTCTCCGCAATCCACACCGCTGGCCAGGCAATCGACTTATCTGCCATGGCTACCGCGCAACAGACCGACACTGACTGTCAGAACGTGAAACAAGATTCTTCGCTACAAATCATACCGCATCCACTACCGTTGTCTGATGGCACAAGCTTGTGCGATACTTCTACTGGACGACCTCGACCCGTCGTTCCAGAAACCTTTCGACGTCTAGTTTTCGACACACTTCATAACATCGCTCATCCAGGCATCCGAGCCACGATCAAGCTCATATCCGAGAGATACGTTTGGCCCGGAATGCAACGCGATCTTAAGCGCTGGGCACGCGGTTGTCTAACGTGTCAACAGGCCAAGATACAGCGGCACGTGTCCGTCCCGCTTGGTCGTTTTCCGCAAGTCTCAGCTCGCTTCGCCCATGTCCATCTCGACATAGTTGGACCCTTGGCACCATCCAGAGGAATGGTCTACATTCTGACCATGATCGACCGATACACCCGTTGGCCCGAGGCAGTACCTATACCCGACGTATCCGCGGACACCGTAACGCGCGCTTTTGTGGAGCGCTGGGTCGCTTCACATGGCTGTCCAGCCACAGTGACTACCGACCGCGGTCCGCAGTTCGAATCCTCGACTTTCAACGATCTTCTCAAAGTCCTCGGATGTCAACGCATCCGGACTACCGCCTATCACCCGCAATCCAACGGCATGGTGGAACGTTTCCACCGACAGCTGAAGGCCTCACTTAGTGCCGCTAAGGCACTAAGCTGGACCGAAGCACTGCCTATGATACTACTTGGTATCCGATCAGCTCTTAAAGCTGATTTGCACACGTCCAGCGCCGAATTGGTATATGGACAACCTCTTCGACTACCTGGGGACTTTTCTGAAAACCCTAGAACACCCCGCTACGACGCGAATTACGCTCGGCAGTTAGCCGCGAGCATGCGCCATAGTAAAGTAACCGACGTGCGAGAACAACGACGTAAATCGTTCGTTCCACAAGATCTACTGCATTGCGCTTACGTTTTCCTTCGAGTCGATGGTCTACGCAGACCACTCGAACGACCCTACGAAGGTCCATTTAAGGTTCTTAAACGTAAGGACCGCGTATTCATTATCGACCGCCACGGTAAACGTGAAACCGTCTCTATCGACCGTCTCAAGGTTGCCCATGTGGAACCTGAGATCGACGATGACTCCTGTCCACCTTCGGACGAGTCAACGCAGCCCATGATCGAAGATACGCCTACTTCCGATGCTACGAAGCATCGTCCGAGCAGCCCTTCCTACTCAGTTCCTTCCGATTCTATCGAGCCGAAAGCGTCCTCATCCAACAAAACTGCTGGATCGACAACGCCTCCGACCGGACGTCCGAAATCGACTAGGTCAGGTAGGCGGGTCCATTGGCCAGCGCGATTAAAAGATTAGTCTTCTTTTCCCGCTTCCTTTTTGCTTGTGGCCTAACTCGCCCAACAAAAACGTTTTGAAAACCCAAAAAATTTGCAAAGCGTTTTGAAAACCCCAAAAACCGCAAAGACGTTTTGAAAACCCAAAAAAGGAGAAAATCGTTTTGAAAACACAAAATGGTTCTCGCTTTATTCGCTTATCGCACTCGGTAAGTGCTATCGCCTTTTGTTAGCTCTGTCGCTCGCACCTGTTTGACACTCCGCGTTTCCGCTTCTTTTTCATATCCCCGACACGCGGACGTTCAACGATAATCGAACGTTACGTTTGCGGACACTACGTGCTCAAACATCATGTGCTGTGACACTACGCACTCGAACGCTACGAACATTTCCCCCCATTTTGTGTTTTTGGCACCTGTAGGGAGGACACGGGTGGGAGCCCCTCTAGCGTCCGATCGCATTGGTTCTCCCCCAGCAGCTGCATCAGGTTTCACCGCCTGGTCTCGCAGAAGGCTGGCCGGCGACGGACAGTCCTCACGTAGATCGAAGGGTCACCTACGGTTCCCTTCTAAGAGGGGGGCTGTGTAGTGACCTGGAGATTCCCCTGTTTGGCTGCCGCATGCTGCGTAAAATATTACAAAATCACAAAATTATATTTTCTCGATGTACATAGCAAAATAGCCGCTCGCCTGTTTGAACGTTGCTCGCGTTTGTTTGAGTCAGATAGCATCCGCCTTCGAACGGCGCGACGCTCCTCGGCTCCGCGGCCATCTGCTCTCCGCGTACGCGACCACACCTTTCCCTAGCTAGCTATCTTTCGGTGCCTTATTTTTAGCACCAGATAGCCTTCCGCCCACTTAATAAATTTTTCCTAGCGTTACTTTTGGTGTTCTCCACTCACCGGAGGTTGGCCTTATATCCGCGTATTTGTTCTAAAGCGTACCGATCCCGCTTCGCGCTTTAGTCTCGAATAGCCGCCAGAATCATGATTTCTGCAATTACCATTAAACAAACAAAATGTGTGTTAATCATGTACTCCTGAAGAAGTTATCGACTTTGGAATCAAAAGTTTAATGCAGCCCTCATGATCGCCCGTGGGTAATTCGCACCTCAGTTTACAACTTCGGAACCGGAGAATTTGTGTACACAGAGCCACAAACCAAAGCGAACAAATTCAAAAGACAACTATCGTCAGTAAATCAGGCTTTAGCCAATTTGATAATTACATCGCAGAATAACAAATTTAAGGCAAAGCAACAATATACAAAAATCAAGGGCATCGGGTTGTCCAGCTGGGAGCAGAATGATTGTAAGTGAACTGCTAGAAGTCATCGCAGCATCAATCACGCCACGTGAGTTGCAGACTGACTTGTAAGAAGGCGTAAACGTCTGCGATTTCCTCGATCTAAAGAGGAAGAAAAGCGAGACAAACTGAATGTGTGGAGAAAAACGGGAAATCGCATTGTAAGCATGCAGAGCGGAAAGCGGTGTCTGACGTACAACACAACCACTGACCCGGTGGTGGTGGTGGTGGTTGGTGCCAAATGTTGTATGCCCACTTACCGAAACACGATGCAACTCGTGCGAATTTAATTCCTATGAATGGACAACATGCTGCGTGCAAAAAAGCACGTATAACAGACACTAAACCACACAGGCTGACTGTGAGCTGCAGTGAGAGCCCAGTATGTCTTAATGTCGAAATCCACATGGTGAGGTTGGAACAGAGATCTCTAGGAAAAATCTTTTCGAGAGTATTGATAGCATATATAATGAATAAGCGTCAATTCGATGTGACGGTCGTCTATTGGATGACACTGGAATCTCTGGGTTGAAGAGCAATTTGATGGTGAGTACTGCCCGAGACTGAGTTGCCAGTGTCCACAAAGAAGGTAAAATCCAATTCGTATGAGAATATTGAAAACTGGGAGCAAGCAGACATACACCCGAGTTGCTTCACCGATATAACATCGGGCAGGCACGCAGAACAGCGTCAGCAAGTACCGCGTACACCTAACATGGTCCGGCTATGAGAAGTGCTATCCAGGCGCGATACGCTCTCGAAATCTGCATTCCGCAAAGTTGTTGTCTTGAATTCATACACGGATTTAGCCTCCACTACTGTCTCGAGCAAAATGCCACAATATTTCATCAATCGACGCTTGAAACACAAAGGGTGAGTTAACCGCTACGCTTTATGAGCCTAAGGCTGTTTTCCATGGAGCGGCGCAGATTTAGAGGCGACTTGATAGAAAGTTTCAAAACCATGGAGTGCCTTAGTGACGCAAGGCCTTCCGACCTGTTTGAACCAGCTGCCTCCGAGCACCTGCAGGGGCACGGACTTAAGTGTAAGCAACAGACGTCTAGGCTAGAAATTAGGGGCAAATTCTTCGCGAATTGTGTGCCTCGTGGTTGGGATAAGCACCCTTATACCTTGAATCGAAATACCAATGTAAAAGCCTTCAGAGAAGGCTCAGATAAGTATCGGCTGGATGTTTCCCTGGGATTATTGTTAGTGAGGATTGTTGAATCTCGTAGTCCATGACCCGAGAAAGCAAAGGTTGCCCTTGTTCTTGCTCCACTTCTTTGTCGAGGCAAGGAAATCAATCCAAATGTTGAAGTACCGGAGGCCCTAGATTGCTTGCCGGAACGAGAAACGGGACGCTCGTTAGGCGGGAGCCTATTTTGTCCTTGGAACTTTACCTGACCAATAAGAATGTACCCGTTCCTGCGAATACTATCTGGTGCGCGCAAGTGTAGCAGCGGCCTCAACATGGAGTAGTGCCCCAGATATAATATCCTGTGCATCATAATGAGGTCAGGGTGTACAACCCTAGTCTCCTTCATCACTCATTGTAAACATACCTGTGAACTGAGGATGAGCTTGGTAACGGGGTTATGAACACTTTCCCGGAATCAAGAACGTCTGTCACACACTGATTACTGTCTAGAAGTAGCAAGAAAAGATATCTCTGTGTAGCTGCATCTAATATCACAGCAATGTGTTTGTTCAGGAATTTCTTGAATTCCGACACCGACTTTACGCCAACTAAGTGTTGCGGCAGGTTGTTCCATACATTCACCTCTCTCCGTTCGAAACAGAGTTGGTGGGCGACCCGCTTCAAAGCCGGTGCTACAAGTTTGTTCCGAAGGAAAATGAACCCAGCTGCCGATTTTTCGGTTGCGGGCACAAAACATGAGAAGAGTTGCCCAGCATGGGGCGGAAACTGAGTGCGCTTGTAATAAGAAGAACAACTTCGCATGTTGCTGCCGATCTGGCAAGGTCGATTCAGTGGACAGTGACCGTCGGTAAGGGTCGCAAGAACTAACCATCAATAATAGAGGAGAACGTGAACGGTAAATTTGTATAGCTACGACGATGCTCCCACAAAAACAGCTGGTGCATTCTCAGTTGGATGCGGGAATCAGTGTTAACATCCTGACCCAGTGGTACTGCCTTGGAGCAGAACGTCACAAAACATAGAGACCTGCCTCAGAATGTGGTATGGTACAAAAGTACGACTGAAGAGCTGTCACGGTGAAGGTTGTAAATCCAAAAAACGGATATGCATACTTGCTCGAGTATCTCGTGGCCATCCTGGGCACTGATTACATTCAAAGTTTGGGTTTTATTTCTTTTAGTCATGACCGTTCGTTTGTAAAGAGCTCAAACAGATATCGTCAAACAATATCCTAGCGCGCTTAACGGTGCCGTGCGGAAGTTCAAAGAGAATGCTCATCAGTCGTTGAAAAAGTCTGCGCGACGAGCAGCACTGCCAGCTAGAAAAGTGTCTGTTAGTTGGAGTAGAAATTTCTCAAGTGGATTGCTGCGCTTGATCAGTTTTGGCGTTATAGCCAAGGTTTGCAAACCGAAAGATTTTGTTACCCTGTGATAGTCAGTAAGAAGTCAGGTGATTTACACATGTGCATCGGTCTTAAACCGCTGAACGTCAAACTCAGAACGGTATGCTGCACGCTATCGACATTTTATGATGTCCTACCAGAGTTCCCCAAAGCCAAGTTCACCAACAGGCCAAATAGCTAACATAAACAGATAACAACTCGTATTATGAGTGAATGCACAATGAACAATGATTTATATCGGGCGAAGAAGCATTGATTGACGACCGAAGTGGCGATTATAAAATGATTGTTTAAAGTAACAGGAAAAATGGAAAATTCCGGTTTGTGGTGACTCACTGAGTCATTCACATGAACACATATGCTGGTCTGTTCACCGCTACCTGACGGAGAGGGCTAGTAAACACAACGTTTGCGTTAATCCGTCTTCTGATGGAAACGGGTTATGCCACGTAATCTAACTGAGATAGTGTGGTACAATCCTTTTTTTAAAAGCGTTAGTGCGGAGGCGAAAAGAACGTGAGAAGGAGAAGTGTTCCACGTTCTGGTTACCCGAAGGACGGAAAAGTTTTGTTGACAATCAAGTCAACTGTAGTGTGTGGACAGTTTGAGTTGGTGACCTCTCAGGTTGGTATTGTGCTTGACTTGCAACAAATGGCGACAGGCGTGACTGGAGTTAATCAGTATTTGGTATACCATAATAAGATCTTCTCGTAGGCACCGGTATTCACCAGTTACAGTCTGCATTCGTAAGAGAAGTGAAGCAGTTCTCTGACGATTTTCGTCGCACGACGTTGTGGAGCTTCGATCGTATCAGCACCTTGTTTACGCCAAGGTCTCACATAGGCATTCAGCATTTGTAGTAAGATTGATGGCTCAAAATTCCCGAACGCCCTTCGTAGAAGGCCAAAGTGCTGACTGGCTCTTCTCCATACCTTTTCAGTCTGTTACGAGCACCCAAGATCGTCCTGAACGATTACTCCTAGGTTGCTTTTCAGCGTAGTATGTTGCAGTAGCTGCTCTCCTAGTCGATATTCATGAGTACATTAATGAAAGAAATAAAGGCGTTAGCAGTACGCCAGTACGTAGTACCGACGCGTCGCTGTTGCACAACCACTGCCGGTCGCAGGTGAGCTAAGGATACTGCCAGGGTCGCTTTGCCCCAATGCAGGCTCGAACTCCCACCGCAAGATTGCGAGACAAGCTCGTTAGCTGCAGGCTACGAGCCAGCAGTACATTGATTGCGTATGCACAGAAATTTGCATTTCTCCAAATTAAACTGGAACCGGCTTTCGGATGATCAACTTTGGATAACACTGGGAAGACGGTGACTGGACGGTAGTTAGAAGGCTTCGCATGATCCCACACTTGAAAATAGGAGTGACTATTACCTGTTTCCACATGGTTGGAATCTGCATTTCCCCAAGGCATCGTGGGAAGAACCAGACCAACGATTAGGCAATGTTCATGGCGACGGTTTTTAGTGCCTACGGTCCGATGCTGTCCACACCAGGAGAGCTGTGCATGCGCAAGAACAATGGCATTTTCATCACATCTGCAGCAATGAAGAATAAGTGGCTTAATTCTGGGGGCGGAGTGAGCCGTGTCTTGTCCGAGTGAGGTGACGATTCCCTTTGGAAACAACGGGCAAACTGTTGCCGAACTGTGTTTGTCGCATCATGTGTAGTGAGCACCGGGCTCTATACCGTAGGTAGAACTGGGATCCGGAGCTGCACTCTTCGGAGCTTGTTGACGTGCCTGTAGAGCATCTCAGGATTAGTAATGCATATCGTCGTTAAGTTCCGTTGGTGTATGAGTTTGTCTTCCCGGACTAAGTTGACAGTGATTTCGCTGTTATATAGGCATTTCAGGCCTACGCAGCCGGACAGGCCTTATGTGCACGCTAGGCCGAAGCATTTAGAGCCGTGTTTTCGTGTCCGGCTGATCAAGGAGGATTGCATTTCCTTCGGACGAAAGACTCTGGTTTCCGAAGTATTTGCCACTGGTCCGGTGAACAGGGTGACAAATCTCTTCCAGGCGACTTCGGGAGGTTGCTCAGTTAGGAAAGACCAGTTAGTTTCTTGAACGAGGTCAGACAATACATTGTAATAGGTGACGACGTGAACTTCCTAGCTGTTTTCACAGATATGTTCGGCGCAGAAAATTTAGCGGAAGAGCAGCGTCGCGTGATCGCTATGGCCAAGCGGTGCAATTAGGCTTACTGCATCAATTATTGGCCCTTCGTTGGTGAACACAAGGTTTAAGATAGATAGAGCGTTTCCAGTCCTGAATCTCGTGGGATGGGTGACGTGGTGGTAGAGCGGTATATGGGCGATTACTTCTTGCAACTCCGCTTTGAATTGTTTGCAGAGCGAAGATGGGATTTCGGTTGCGTGCAGGTTGAAGTCCACCACCAAAAGGAGGTGACTGTATGACCGTGCCAGGATTCGCATCACAGCAGACACCAGCCGGCGATGCAATTTCAGGGTGGGACTTGGAGGGCGGTATGTTATTGCAAGTAAGCTAGTAAGCACATGTCACCAC